CTTTCACTGCTCCACTTCTCATAAATTGGTCTCTTTCTAAAGTTGACAGTTGCTCACATAGGAAAAGTACCATCTCACGGGCATTCTTTAGATGATCATATGCTACCGATCGACTTAATTAGTTAAGAGCAAAAATTGTACACAAGGAAATTTATCTGTAACAGAATCAAATTGGTTAAGAAACCAGAATTTAAGATAGATCATATCTGATGCAGCATATCTATAAATAAATATATTTATTTATTTATTTATTGATCACGGGAAAACAGGGGAAGGGCGATTACATCACAAGGATTTGAACCATGGTGGTATCCATGGTCTTTGATGCACCCTATCATTGCAGCCACTGCTGTAGGTGCCATATATATATTGAATTTGAACTTTTAGACCTTTAAACATGGAATTACTAGACTTTTGAAAGTTAGTGGTTATCAAATTTTATAGCAAAATAATACAGTAAAAATAAAAATATACGCATAGAGAAATTCAATTGAAAATATTGTAATTGATGGAAAAAAAAAATGAAAATGTTGTAAATTAGGAGAGAAGCATACTCACAAAGTAAAAGAAGCTTGTTCCCACCAAACAATGATGATGGTACTTCGACCAACACTGGAATAAAAGGGGTTAGTTCCAAAGAGCTTTTGTGAAATGTCAAATCTGGAAATTTGCTCAGCAGATCAAGTCCAATATCTGATTCAAGAATACCATACCAGTTTGTTTGATAAAGGTAAAATAAAAGCATGCATGCATATATATATATATATATATACACATATGAGAGAGAGAGAGAGAAAGAGAGAAAGAAAAAAAAATTAAAATTTATAGCTCTTACCAAACATATGATTCCTTATGCACTTTTTGAGGAAGAAGAATCCATGGTCGTCGCCATTTCCTGGATCTAGAAATTCTTCAGGTATCACTGAATAAAGATAACGAGTCAAAAGTAGTGTTATCATTATCATATCGTATTGGTTGATATGGTCGGTATGTACCGGTTTTTACACTAAATTGAAACAGTACATGATCTAATTTTGTTTCAATCAAATTTCATCCGTTTCGGTCAAATTTTGGTGTACTGATCGGTATTTCGACGTATCGGCCGATACATGAAAATTTATCGATACAACTGAATTTAAATTTAAAGAGGGTAAATTTCATTTTTGGTCCTCAACTTCAATGTTTTACATAATTTTCATCCTTTAACTTTTTTTTGTATTTTTTTAGTCTATCAACTACGAAAAATGTATTTTTTTTGGTTTTTCTATCAATTACTCTGTTAAGTTTGTCTAAATATACACATTTTTAGTCCCTTAAGTTAAAATGAATGGACAAAAAATATACATAGATTAGAAGTTGAGAAACTAAAAATGATCATTTTAAACTTGTTTTCAATTTATAGGAATATAATGGTTTTAAACATTAGTATCTCTTATTTTATTTTAAAATTTGATATTTAATTATAAAAATATACATTTATAGCAATAAATTCGAAACAGTACACAAAAAATTCTAGTATCCGGTACATACCATTTCAGTAACAAAATCATTACGCATGCTAGTATAGTATTGACAACTTTGGTCAAAAGACTTATGGTGTGTGGCACATACCAATATAAGTGGGATCTTCTTCTTGCAATCTGGGATTTCAAGCAATTTTTTGTTCTTTCCAACCAACCATTCTCGATCTCTCTACTTCCCTTACGAGCAGCCAAGAAAGAACTGTCTCCCACTCTTATCTTGTGTTTCCAACTCTTAATTTGACATCACCGAAATCAGTTTCTTAGCCAACTTTATCTTGCCAGTAGTAATTGCAACATGGGGCAGTGGAACCGTTTTCTAATGCTGCAGAATATGGAGGATGTGTTTCAAAGAGTTTTTTTACACCATCAGAATCTCTTCTTTGTTTTTTCTTTTTTTTTTCTTTTATGTCCTTGACCAATGTCACAGCTTGTTTCCTTTCAATCCTGATTCCTGCCAAGGATTGTAAGATTATTTTCTGAGGCAATATTAAAATTAAGAAACAGGAAAGAGTATTCCGTGTTTTAGACATATAAATATAGAGATGGAAATTAAATAAACCTGTATCTTTGTTCCTGTCTTCATTTGGCTTTTTATGCAAATCATCAGCCAATGCTTTCCAAGCATCTTTGGCTGAATTCTTCTTCTTAATCTAATCAAACTTTTCTGCCCCACATGAAATCTTAATTGTATTCAGAGCTAAAGCATTCCTTTCAATCCATTTCCTTGGGTCTTCTCCATGAGCACGAGGCATCTTGCTTGATATAACCATATCCCAAAGGTCTTGAGCCACTAAATAGTGTTGCAGGAAAATGCACCATCTTTCATAATTATCTTTTTTAAGAACCTCAGGCACAATCATGCATGCAGCTATTCCTGCATTACTCTGTATACAAAATGTTTAACCGTACATAAAACATTTTTCTTTTGCCAAAAAAGAAAATAACGAAAGATTTAACAGGAGGAGTTGGTGATCATATATCATTTTTGGTAATAACCATATTAATTTAAAACCATGCATGTCTATGTAGTTAAGAACATTCGTGGATAGAAGTATGTAAAAACAAAACTAATATACTTACAGGTGGAACCAGTTGAACCTGATTAGCGTCCATGCCTCCTTAGTAAGCTGTTGCAGACAAACAAAGTAACAAACTGATACAGGAGGAATGAATTGTAGTTCTTAAGGGCAAGATCTCTGCTTATATATATCTACATAAATCTTAGGAATCAATTTTAAAAAAAAAAAAAGAAAAAAAAAAAAAGAGAAGAAGAAAGAAAAAACCTACCTTAGGAATCAAGATAAAAAAAATAATACCTATATTAAGAGTTAAGATAAAAAAAAAAATTCCTACCTCAAGAATCAAGATAAAAAATAATACCTATATTACAAATCAAGATAAAAGAAAAATAATACCTACCTTAATTAGGAATCAAGATTAAAAATAATACATATATTAAGAATCAAGATTAAAATATGTATTTGGGTGTAAAAAACTTGAAGTTGAATCAAATAACGTGCAGGTGGTAGCTATTGCAAACTCTGTTGATGATTGTTATCTTCCTTTTGGTGCTATTGTTGAAGGCCTCCGCGCTCGGAAATCTGGATTCGATTCTCTTTGTATCAGGTATGTTAAGAGAAGTTGCAATAGTTTGGCTTGCAAATTAGCACATTTGTTCTCACCTACTCCACCTTGGGAGGGGGTATGGGTTGATTCTTTACCCACTGCTTTATGTAATGATTTTGCTTCTTGAGCAATAATATATTCCATTTATCAATAAAAAAAGATTAAAATATGCATTTAACCTCTTATCTTATTAAATTTAAAGTTTTTAATCGTTTACTTTATATTTTAAAGTTTTTAATCATTTACTTTATATTATGAAGTTTTTAACCCTTGAATTTAAAATTTTGAAGATTTTAACCCTTATACTAACGAAATTCGTTAACTCTCTGTAGAGGTAAAAATAAAATATTTACATAATCAGTCTTTAAATATTAAAAATATAATAATTTAGTTCAATTATGGGTTAATTTCAGATTATATATGTCCTTCAGTCTACCTACACCCAATCAATTACAAAGAATCAGGAGAGGAGAGATTAATCCAAGAAAGGCTTCTAAAGATTAACAAATTAAGAAAGTATTAGTTGAGGTTGAGGATGTTCATTATACACCAATTCCACTGTTATACGGCATAGAAATAAAAGGAGTCCCAATATTCCATCCATTACTTTAACCTGTATTACTGCAACATCAAACAGAGACAAATTACTGACCCCATTCATATTGGAATAACTACTTACTGCTGTGTAATAACCAAAGAGCCAATTATGTATATCTGCCATTTGGACCAATACCTTGTGTTCTGAAGATATTATGTCAGTTAAACTTTCATTTTGGTCCCTTTTTAGTCCCTACAATATTGTGGGTGAGATTGTTGTCATATCTTTATTTATTAATGCTACATTTTTTAATTGTCTTAATTTTTTTAGTTCATCAAATAATAAGTTATATAATAAAGTTTTTCTTCTCAAACCCTTTTTCAGATCTTAAAATTTAAATTTAAGATTTTTAATGTAAAAATTCATATTATTAACCGCCACAACGTTCGACAAGGACAAAAGGATATAGGATTTAATTATTTTACATCACTGAAAACATTTGGTGCACACCTATATTTAACTAATTGCTTTCAAAGATTATATATTTTAATTACCCATTATTGTTAGACAACTGAAAAAAGACATTACTCCTCTCTTCACCCAATTAAACTCATATCACTGCTTGGGGAAAAATATCAAACCAAAATTTTCTTGCTTTCTCCTCTTTTTTTGGGGGGGGGAGGAGGGGGGGGGGTGGTGAGCATGAATTCCTTTTCAATGCATGCACGTAATTTTCATAACTCTTTTAGTCATTAAGTGGATGACCTGACTTTTGATTGTATTGTTACTACATCAAAGAAACATGTGATTACCGATTACTTGAGTCATGTGATGGTAAAATCATTGCTTACAATGGGCATGATCTTGGGACGTTTAAGCCCAAGAGTTGGTTCTGAATTGTGATTCCGTTCCACCACCCCAATTTATAATTGTTTTAATTATAAAAATGTGAGTAAAAATATTTTAAGAAAAAAGTGAAGTGAAAAACAAAATTATCATCTTTTTAACATTAATAATCAGAAAAAGGAGTGCATTAGTGCAATATTGCATTTTAGTTTAGGCCTAAAAAGCCTAGAGACCCACCTATTTGTGCTAGCCATGGCAGACCCACCTCTGTGTCAATTTCAGAGTTGGGCTTAGCCTAATAAATAGGCCAGAGGGGATTGGTCCGATGGGATGGTATTTAATGGGCTTTCATGTTACTTACCCAAATTCAACCCCATTTGCTTACGAGCGGTTTGGTTTGGCCCAAAAATAAAATAAAGGCGGGGAGGATATTTACGTAATTTGACATCCACTTTCCCTTCCGCTTAATTTCCCTGCTAAAAATTGATGGCGGAGAGAAGGGAAAATAATATGTTAGGGTTCAGCAGGCTAACGTGCATTTCCCCTCCCCGAATCCCAGGAATCTCTCAGAGGCCCACTTATCTTCTTCCTCATGACTCTTGTTCCCCGTTTCTCAAAACCCAATTTCGAATTCCCAGCTCCCCTTCAAGATTCGCATTGTTTGCTCAAAGTGGGAACAATGACCTAATCAAAGAATCCGGCGAGAAGGAGCGGCCAAGTGGTTTCGTCAACGGTGACGTTGGCGATTTTGATTCGAAGAAGGATCGGCGGCCGGTATTTAATTTCAGGCGGGGTGACCTGCTGGACCCCGACCCTGAAAACATCCTGGCCGTTGGATTGACGGGTTTGCTGGGGTGGGCCAGTGCCCAAGTTCTGTGGCAGCTATTTTTCATCTCGGTGGCCATTCTGGTTGCTGCTCTCCTCATTTTCATTCTTATTACCCTTCTTTTGAGTCCCTTCTCTACATTACTTGTGCAAGTTTTGCTCTTTTTTTTTTTTTTTTTTTTTTTTTCAAAATTATAATGTTATATTATGAGCTCAAGATGAATTGGGAGATGTTGTGAATTATGAGCTCAAGATGAATTGGGAGATGTTGTGAATTATATATATATATATATATATATATATATGTATCTATGTATGTATGTATATATGTATGTATATATATATTTCTTTCCCTCATTGAAGAGTCTGAGGAATATATGCAGATTCATCAGGCTTGTTCTTATAATCATATTTGCCAAAGTAGAGATGAAGTAATAAAGGAGCAGAGTGTATATGATTGTCATAACAAAAAAGCTTCTGCGTATATGAAGCCGTCAATAATCAATTCTACTGCTCTTGAGAGGATATATACATCTAAAAGATAGAATTTTGGTACACATTAGATTTGTACATAATTATACATAATTGTCTCTTATATACTAATTATCATTTACATTAAAAAATTCACACAATGTTCATAAGACTTTGCATTTAAAAAAAAAATACAAGTAATTTGACACCATTAAACAGTTCTTAAACACTTCTATCTCTTACATCAGAAAATTTTCACGTAACATTTATAAGACATAACAATTATTATTTCTTAATTAATAAAAATCAAACCCATTTGAAAAGTACCTTAAAAAACAAATTTACATGTCCATCATGCATGTTTGTGACACATCAAAATTAAGTTGAACAACAGTTAAACGTATCAACCATTTTTAATAAAAACATTTTTTTGCTAATGAAAAAAAAGTTAGATGTAACAACCCAACATAACAATTAATAGTTATACCGAATTATTATTGATATATCGTAGCTGTGAATTTAAATGAAAATACAATATCAAAACAAACTTTAACATTAATAATATTACAATTAACACAGAGCACATCCAAATCCAGGAAAAAGGAAAAAAGGAAAAAAAAATAAAAATAAAATAAAAAAAAGGAGGGAAAAGAAGCACATGAGTCCACGCAACGGGCGGAATTTAGGTTATTTCAGCACACTGGAAGAAGTGATGATATTTTATCACATACATTGACGCAGCATGGTGAACATTTTCGAAAATGAGATTTGAAAAAAAATAGGGTATGAAGTCTTACAAAGAGGTAGAAAGTGTTTTAGACAAATGTAGGGATATGGACAGCCAAAAGCGATAAAAATGAAAATATTGTACCACAGAGGAAGTTGGCGATCCACAAGTTTAATGGAAGCAAAAGAGCAAACTAGCGTCATGCCAATGGACCAGAAGAGGAAATAAAAGCTCGTGGCCAACTTGAGAGTCAAGAATCCACTTAGGAAATCTTCTTCGGTAAGACTCGATTTGTGGATATCCAAAAACAACACGACTGAAAAAGCTGCAAAATAGAGAGAAAATAGATCCCATTCTATGAAGAGCCTAAAATATCCTCTTTTAGAGAAGATGGGGAGGCCATCCG